ATATATATATATATATATATATGTGTATGTATATATATATATATATATATATATATATATATATATATATGTCTGTATGTAAAGGCATGATTAGAGGCTATCTCTAGGTGTACTAAATATTCGAGACCACACTCTACACAAGAAGAGATTCGAACTCATAACCAGAGGGGACTTACGATCTTCAGAGAGGCTCCTCTACAAACAAACCAAGTAACACACACACACAGATATATATATAATACATTTTTTTAACACATTAATAGGCTCCTCTACAAACAAACCAAGTAACACACACACGCACACAGATATATATATAATACATTTTTTAACACATTAACATTTGAATTCTTTTTCTTACTTGTTAATTTAATGTCAAATGTGTCCATGATAAAAAATTTACCCTGTTATACTATCCGAACATTAGATTAGGTGTGATAAATATTTATAATATACATCTTTATTATTATGAGGCAGTTCCATACCTATCACAGAATTCTTACGCATTAACATATCTAACACCTAAACATTTATATTTACATGCCCATCACTCAAATATTTAAAATCACATAAGAAAATATGATCATTATTATATTTCGAAAAGTCATACATGCATTTATGACACCTATGTAATAAATGTCAATATCAAAATCTAGGTGTTACAAGTATAAATAAAAAAGAATAGTCTGGTACATATGTAAATTTTCCTATCAGAAAGTATTATAATATATCATTGATAAATTGACGTTGCTTATATCGTTTACCTCTAACGCACATATTCTTATGAACTGCAGACTTCAACGAACTAATACGCCATTATCATCCCAGAGAGAGAGGATATGAGAAAAATTTTCGTGCGTAACATCTACGTAGCTCTGCGTACTTCAGCTAAGTTACAGAGAGAGTATTAAAATTTATATCCGCATTATATCACTGTAACCTCCCTGTAACCTATAAATATATGAAAACAGAAACACGAAACTTACTAATTATAGGTAGGTTACATGTAGGTTAGAGTGAAGTTACATGGGGTATAACGCGGATATAACCCTCAATACCCTCCTTGTAACCTATCTGACGTATGCAGCACTTCGTATGTCTTAAGCTTGAAGAGAGAGAGAGAGGAGAAAAGGAAGAAAAAAAAAAAAGAGTAAATCTCTACATAAAATTCATGGAATAAAGGCAAAACAAAACAATAATACTAATCCAAATACTAAAACACATAAAACTCAATCAAATCTCCTAAATTTCCAAGCGGAAACAGAGAACAGAGCTCTGTCCTGCCAACAAAATTGAAAGCAACCATTCTCCTCCTTCACTCTGTATCCATCACATCCAAAACTCTGCAACATCCTTCTGGCCTGCAACATCCCGTAATAGCTCAGCGGCACTCTCCCAAATCCAGCCATTTCAAACCTCATTATCCATTTCTCAAGCTTCTCATGCCTCTCCTTCCTCTCCAATCCTTCACAAGCCATTATGTTCTTTATCTCCTCCCCAAACAGCTTCTTTTCCACATTCAGCCGCTCCGCCGACTGCCTCGGCAACGTCGACTCCAAGCAATCAAACAGCGCTGCGTAGAAGTTCAGCGCTTCCACGAATCTCTCGTTCAGAGATGATCCATTATGGTTCGACTCCTGTTCTGTCACCACCATGATTTTCGGGGAGAGACTCCATAAAGAAGCGAGAAAAGTTTCCATTTTGGCCGACGTGGGGAGGCTGAAAGCCGAGGAAGAGGAATCTGAGCCATGATCTTTGTCCAACAGATCGACGAGCGTGCCGGCGGATTGAAAAGGGAAGAGCTTTCGAGCGGCGGTGATGTCATCGGAGGCGAGGAGAGAATGGAGTTGGAGAACGGAGCTAATGGCGACTGCTTCCCCTGTTTTGACACGCAGGCTCTCGACGCTGAGAGCGTCGAGCTTCGAAACGACGGCGTTGAATTGAAAAGGGATGTCGAGCTTCTCCGCCTCTTTAGACAGAACAGACGCTGTTTGCAGGAGAAGGTCCTTGTGCTCCCCAACAGCAGTGATGCGGAGATGCGGAGGGCCTTCCGGCCGGCCGGCGAGACCCTGAAGCAGAGCAAGCCATTGGGCCGGATCAGATCCCCCAAGGTCGACGATGTGGACGACCTTTTCACCTTCCATTGCTTCCAGAATAGCTTGGTTCGAAACCAGGAAGGAGAGGCGCAGAAAGGGGCAGAGATCGAGAAAGAGACGGCGAGCAGCGGATTTTGCGCAGATATCGGCGGCGATAGGATTCAGGGCTCGGTAAACTCCAGGCCATGAGCGAAGGAGGCGGCGGGCAAGAGCTTCAGTGAAGTAAGACGCGATTCGCTGCATAGTATCGCCTTCAGGAGAAGCGAGGAGAGAGATGTGTTCCAGAAAGGCGTTGGCTTGATCGAGATTACCGGCGGCCACATGGTTGGCGCAGTTGAGAAGGAGATGGATGAGGAAGAGACCGCGCTCGTCGGACTTGAGCTCGCGCAGCCATGGAGAGTATGGGGAGCCGAGTGCCGTCGGTGAGATCGACATGAAGCTGAGAAGAGGGGAAGATGTCACCGAGGAGGAAACCTCTTCTGCTACTCCGGACATCAACATTCGAACCAGTCAAAGATGCCTTTTTTTAAAAGCTTTTGTTAAGAAGATGTCGATGGAACACGATACGAAAGCCTACCTCTCCTTCTTCTTCGTCTTTATAAGTGCAGAGAGTAGAAAAACGAAAGAGAGAGAAAGAGAGGAGAAAGATGAGAAGCTGTGTCAAGCTATCATATGAAGAAAAAGGGGCAGAGGTCGCTAGATCTTCAACAATGGAACAGTTTGGGAAGTTAAGATTGGAAGTAAATTGAGACTAGGAAGAAGATTAAAAAAAAAAAGGGAGGGCTTTTTATCATCAGATTAGATCTCAGTAAATTGAGACTAGGAAGAAGATTAAAAAAAAAACAAAGGGAGGGCTTTTTATCATCAGATTAGATCTATGGTTCTCTCCCTCTGCTTTATTTCGATCAGGATGCTGAAGATATAGAAAAGATCCGTTGTATTCCTTCTGTGAACTTGTTATTGAGGAGCTGGGTTACGCGGCAAGTCAGACGCATGAAAGCGGCCGTTTTGAATGGGTGCGATAGCCGACAAATGAGGAAGCTTTTGTCCGCATCGATTAGGTGTCTGTCTGTTAGTGCACAAGCATATGGAATTTCTGAGAAGGAAGCCTTAATATTTTCCTTCCATTTTCCTTCCCAAGTTCTTACACACACCCCCCTCATTTCTTATGTATTTACATATCTCATACCAAAATTTTAACTTCATTTATTTTTATCAGACAAATGAAGTGATTTAGAAGCTTTGTTTAGAAGAAGTAGCCGTGAAATCTACGTCACCTATTTAAAAGATAAAGGTCTAAAATTTGAACATGTGATATTTAAATAGCATATACACAAAAACCGTCATAATTTCGATATATCAATCAAAATAAAGAAAAGGTATTTCAGATCCATTTTTTTTTTAATTTTCTTTGTTGTCGGATATAATATAGGAACATGTTAACAATAATTATAAGCCAATGGCAATTAATAAGAGCCCATATTACTTGGGAGATTTGTCAACTAAGGATGAGGATAGAAATAAAGATGGCTACCTTATTCCTAATCCTCAGAAGCATCCAAAAGAACCCTAACAAAACAAAAGAAGCATTGTGGTTTTTCTTAGAGGGAAAGAGATAGAGCGTGGGAACAGGAAGATGCCTTCCTTGAATACCTCCAAACCTCTCCATATGTCTTGTAGTGAAGGATAGGGCTCCTCTATTGTTCCAATCTTATTAGGTTAAGGGCAAATAGACAAAGAGATTGGGAGAAGAGAACAAGGCTTGTTGTGGGGGCATGGGCCTCATTAGTCTTATTTGGTGGCATCCTTCATGATTGCCTATTTTTTAAAGTAACTAAAATAATAGTAATAGTAATAATAATGAGTATAATTCATTTTTTATTTTTTTATGTTGAATTTTTCTTGTCTCTCTTAGGGAAATGAGAGAAATTTATCTTAGCAAAAAGCTTTGAAAGAGTTATAACTAGTGGCAAGATTTTGAATTTAGAAATGAATTTTATTTTGACTTATTTGGATAAATTAAATTAGATATGAATTGATATAATTTTTAATTAATTGTAACAGTTTTTTAGGTATAATTAAATAGTATATTATTAATCAGTTTAAAAAAATATGACGTTGAATATCTTCTAGTCTTCATTTTATATATATATATATATATTTTTTTTTATTTGAAAATTGTTATTGTTACTCATAATATTCATAACTTTTTCATGATATTTTTACAAAATGTATCACTGTGCGTCGTCAACAAAATTTTATGATTTGCCGTCAATCTCGAGGTATGACACGACTCTCGAGATAATTTTTGAGCTAGAAATATTCATACTCAAATTAAAAAGGATAAAGAATTCCAATTTTGACAAACTTACAGCCAAATTGGTCGACTCGATGACATGAACCCAACGACACTAAAATTGACCAAATCTGAGTCAAATCAAGACGTTAATCCACTTTTGGAAACTTTTGGGTGGATAATTGGAAGGTTAAATGAATTTCAAATCTAACAATTTATAGGCAAATCAAGCGTCTCGATGAGACGAATCCAACTAGTCCAGGATCACTTAATTATAATATCATTAAGGTACTTAAATGCACATGTATAAAATGTCGTCAGATCGAGAGAATCTATCTGGGTCATCTGATTGAGTGATCCAAATTCTTTTCTTATTTTTCGGGGAGGACCCCACCAGTCTTTATAGATAAAGTCCAACTCCTTTCATTAAAAGAGGGAAGGACCGAGAAGAAGATTTGAAGCTATACCAGAAGGAGTTGAATTTCAATGTTATTTTGGATTGATAGCTCGATGAATGCTTCCTACTTACACAGCCACTGACAACCTTCGACCACTGCTCGCCAATTGTCATAGATCACTCTCAGTTGTGCCTTGCTCGTTGCAACAAATGCCCTTAAGGAGTCACGACATACGTTGTGAAGCAAGGAAGCACCGTGTGTAGTAATGACCAACTTCATGGAGTAACAAAGCATCATATGAAGCAGTACATCATCCAGAATATTGTGCAATGATGCGCCTTAAATATGGTGTAATGATACACACTAAAAATTTGTAAGAATGCACCTCAAAGAAAGAGAAATGATGCACCATAAATATAGTGCAATGATGCACCCCAAAAACAATGTGATGCACTCTGAAGATGGTGTGACAAAACCTGATGACAGTGCAATAATGCACTTTGAAGGTGGTGTAACAACACACTCTAAATATATTACAACGACGCATCTCAAATATGTTACAATGACGAACCCTGAATACGATGCAATGATGTGTCCCGAAAATGGTGCAATGATGCATGATTCAACGTTGCACCTGAAAGACAGTTTAATGACATACCTCAAATATAGTGTTGTGATGCACCCCAAAGGCAGTGTAACTATACACCTTGATAATGGTTTAACAACACATCTCACATGCGGTGTGATGGCACAAATCCTAATACAAGATCATAAATAATGATGTAGCAAGGATTTGACAATAACTCCTTATAATAATTGCTCACAACTAACATACTCAAAACATGATTATTTTGTTTGAACTCTTGAATTTCTCTTATTACCTCTCTGCACCACAGTTTATATGAACAACTACGCATACTTCGTACATAGCTATTGTAGCTCCCAAATCTAGCATTTGTGGCCTACAAACATAATTTCGGCTCACCATTATGACATATGTGACCAATTACAACCTACGTGATCCACAACACATGTAGCTCTCAATTCTAACCTTTGTGGCCTACAAACAATATTGCAACTCAACACTACAATCTATGTGACCAACTATGACCTATGTAGTTCATAGCTCATGCAACTTTGAACTCTGATCTCTGTGGTCTACAGATGTTTCTGAAACTCATCACTACGCCCAATGTGACCAACTATGACCTACATCTTCCACAACTCATGCAGCTCCAAACTTGAATCTCTATGATTTACATATATTATTGTAGCTCATCACTATAACTTATATTTTCAACTCCAACCTTCATGGTCCATTACCCATGAAACTCCTAACTTCATCCTTTATGGCTACAGACACTACTACAACTCTCCACTACGGCCTACATGGTCCACATCTCATGCATCTTCTAACACTAACCTGTATGGCATAAAAATTTTATTTTGACTCTCTGCTATAGCCTACGTAACAAACTACAAACTACGTGATTCATAGTTCATGTATCTCCCAACTCCATTCTCTATGGCCAACTGGCGCTCGTGAAGCAACCATCCATGACCTACATGCCCAACTACTATCTTGCCTTTTAACTACAGCCTCTAGATGGTGCTGCAACCACCATGTATAGCATTAATGACGAGTTACTCCATTTACAACAATCAACTAGAGACTTTGCATCCCATCAAATCTTTTATTGTTGAACTATCAGTGTACACCAATGTTTTAATTCTATCTTATCTAATCTAAGAGGAGATTGATTTTTTGTACTTGAAATTACATATTGGATTATTTCAACTAGGATGTGCTTTGTGATTGTTTCCATTACCAAATTTTTTAACATAAAAATTTTAGGTATTTCCTCCTGTTTACTTCTCTTTTATTTGTGTGTGCTTGATCTTCATTCAATGCTAAGAATGTAAGTTATTTCTCAATCGTAATGAATCTTCTAGAACACAATTATTTTAGTGTCATCTGTGGGAAGCAAAGACTTATTGGACATAGTGTTGAAGTTCGAGATACCCAGCCCCTGCTTTGTTTTATAATGATACACACCACAACACTGACAAAAGATTAAAAAGGACTCCACTAACCTTTCTGAGCTTTATGAAAGAAAGTGAAAGTCTCAAAAAGATGATTTTCAAAGCATTCTCCAATGCGAGGAGATAACCTTTACTGCAATCTCAAAAGTTCATTCATGTTAACATCCAAAGCATTATTTTTATGGGATAGTCTTCTCATATCTTATTTATACATTAAGTCTATAAGAAATAGTTGCAGGCTGGGGACAACCTTCATTGAATCTTAAAATTTTATTCATATTAACATCGCAAGCACGGTTGTTGTGGGGGTTGTCATATCATAGTTCTTTTCTACCTAAAATTTGAAGAAACTAACTACATACTAGGGATAATTTTCACTACATCTTCAAGAGAACATTCATGAAAAGATCAACTACTTATCAAAGCTATCCAGCTACAAAGTGCTCTTTTAACACCCCCTCATCATATTAGAGTTTCTCCACAATCGGACCAAGAAGTTGATCTGCTTAATGTTTGAAGCATGGGTTGCTTTATAAGCTCATGTGGACAATGCACCCAGTTAAAGGACAATAAATTCAGAAAAAAAATAAAGAGATGCCAAACATCATTCTTAAATATGTTCATAACCATCCTTTTAAGAGAAAGTATGATCCATTTTGATATACACTCTAGTCTCAAGAAATACAAAGTTGTTTTAGCACATGATTGTGAGCTTGATTTTTCCTAGGCGGGAGACAATTGGACCTTTTCTATAACACGTTGTGATTGTCAAATAGAAGCTTCATTTAACATCCTTAGATAGGTTAAAATTCCTCTGTGGATCTCATTCGACTCTTTCTATTACAGGTTAATGCTATTGAGAACCTCCGACTAAACAACCTAAGACTTGTCTTACATTCTTTATGGATTACTATCAACTCCTTCCACTGCAAGCTATGGTTGTTATGCTAACATGCTCTGACTAAGCAGCCTGTGAAAAGTCAAACATTCTTAGTGGCACACACAATCTCCACTCATATTCCTAGAAGTTGTGCCCATGAGAAAATTCTCGATGGGAAGCTATT